GGGGGGGGGGGGGGGGGGGGGGCAGGAGGGTTGACTCCCAGGCACATGCCAGTACCAATTTACCATTGAAACGAATGAACGAATCGTAGAGGGACTGATTGTTTTACCAAAGCTAAACCTTCCTGCTACATGACAGCAGTGCTACCTCTCACTGTGGTATGTCCGCAGCGTATATTTATAGTGGAACCTTATAAAAATGGGTTTTTTTTTTCAGGCTCTGCTTGGTTGCCATATTCTTGCTTCGCTATTCATCTTCTACTTCTGTACAAAAGCTCGTCAGTATTGCTCATTGATCGAATTGATCCTTTGTGGCAGGTAATCTTTTCCAGTTTTTCCATGGCTGTGTTTTTTTGAAATATTAGAAGTTAGGCATAGGATTTTATAATTAAACGAGATAAACAAATGATGGATGCAACGGGTAATGAACAGGTAAGAATTTAGAATTTACAATTTTATAACTTTATAATTTTAAAACTTTCTATTTCTTCTGTTTGATTACGATCTTTCATTTCTTCTGTTTTACATCTCTTCCATCTTAATTAATTCTTACACCTCACAAAATTATTTTGTTACCACAATCGTCGTACTGACGTGGTCCAATTCTGGTAACGGTAAGAAATGTATACGACTTAATGGACCGAAATATTTCTTACGTATTACAAATATTTCCTCAGACCCCTTTCCCATCTTACTACCCTTCCCCTCGTTTTCCTTTTTGTTGATATTTTCTCTTCAACTTTTAATAGGAATTATAAGTCATATATCAGGTAAACATGTGAGAGAAGCAGTCTGTGTTTCATGCCTTAACCGTTTTTTACAAAAACTTTTCATTATGCATCATGAGAAAGGCGAAATTTCCTACGACTGATAGTGATAAATTCCTACAAATACGGTTAAGAGATGAAATACAGACTGCTTCTTCACACATACATGAGAAAGGCGAATTTTCAGTTTTGCATAGCATTTTGCTGAAATTGTAATTTTTTTTCTGGACCAGTATTAGAAGGTGTGGTTAAAAAATAGCAGTGTTTGAAAAGGCTATATTTCAAAGACTCACAAATTTAAATTCGGCCTTCCTTTGCGCGTAGGTATCAGTAGTACGAGCCCGTGAAAGCTTTGGCGGAAAAATTATCATCTTCGGAACCAGAGAAGCGAAAAAGCTGAAATTTTAGGGTAGTAAATACAGATCGAGCTCTGCGTGCGAGTAGGAGTGGGAATCATCAAGAAAGCATCGTAGAAAAAGGTAAAAGTGAATTGAGAGAGAGAAAATGATAAAATTTTCACTGAAAATGAGAAAAGTGAAGGGATAATCGACCATGTTAAGCGGGAGTTGGGGTGGGATAAAAAGGTTTTTTTTAACATTTATGAAATTTTTCTAAGTTCCAGGTTGCATCGATATCTGGCACCGTCCGCTTCTGCTTTGAAACAGGCACTGCAATCTCAATTCGCAGCATCCTCAACGAGAAATCGTAAACGCAGACATATACTGTAATAATTTTATGAATAATGATACTTATAGTATCAGACCAATTTTTTATACTTTTAATTTCCAATCCCCAGAGATTTCAAGTCAAATTTTTTAAGTGTCTTTTGATCTATTTATTTTGTTTTAATTTTTTTAGTCTCAGATACTATGCATACCGTAGTAACCAGACTGGCCCTGGAATTCTGGATGGCGAAAGCGCGGTAGATTACAGTATGAAAGGAGATAAGAGTGAGATAAGACGGTTCGGTCCATTAAGTCATATAGGTCTTAACACAACACCGCGCGACAAAATCTGCTCAGTATGACCACGAAAACATCAGATTACAGGTAATATGCCATAATAACCTGTACCTGGTAGCGGGTCGCATTTACACATTCTAGATAAGCTAGTTACCTATATAGGATGTTGCTCGTTACCTGTATAAGACGCTGCTAGTTACTTATATAGACCGCCCACCCTCTCGCGCTGTAGCACTTCCGCTCCACCCTTCAGTTGTAGCTGCTTAATGGAAAAGGAAACGAAGAGGATGGTGACAGAAAGAAGTAAAATGAACAGCGTCCCGGTTTAAATCCGGGTTTTTTTTCAAATCCCTTCCAGCTTATTTGGTTTTTCTTTATGCCTTTTAGTTTTTGAGTTGCCAAGTCTTCATATTTAGGTTTCGTAATTTTCATTTTTCAAATAATTTGTTCTTTTATGTCTCAGGTTGTTTTCCCCCCGTTTTTTTTTTTTTTGAATATTTTCAAATTTTTCGCGCAATATCGCCTGTTTAGTGATGGTGATGATGATGCTAACGTTTTGGTACCAAAGAATCTCGAACTTACAATCAAAGCAATCCCGGTGAACAAAGCGGATTTGGAATGTTTGCAATTCTACAAAACATTTTTGTGGTCTGCTGAATTTGTCCTGTTTACACTGGTAAGCCAATTGACGATCAGTCCTTTTTTTTCCCTTAATCTCATTTTTTCTCAGTGGCGCACATACATCGAACAAGCGGTGGGTACTAACTGAAGATGTCTAGCTCAG